CAGCTCCCAGGGCACAGTGTTTCCAAGGGGAGAACTCCAAGCAGCCTGTGTTTGCACTCGGGGCTGTTTCTAATCATCCAGAATATAGCGAGTCTATTTTTAGTGGTTGGGGGTTTTTATTTTAATTAATTACACAATTCTGCTTTCCACCATTTTTTCACCTCCCCGTGACCACTTACCCCACGCTGCTGCTTGTTCAGCCAAAAAATAGCCCCCCCCCAAAACACCACAGTGCCTGATTCATTGTCTCTTCAGTGTGTTGTGCCATCTGTGCCTTTTGTCAGCTCTTACACACCATAGGACCACGTTTGGGGAAGAAAATGGAGTAGAGGAGTTCACTTCCAGAGGAGTGGACCTCTTCCAACCCTCCTCCACTGACTCCACTGGAGAGAGGGTGAAGATCCTTTTGAAACCTACATCTTTCATTAATGTCAACTAGTCAAGGCTGCAAACAGCTCATTTTCCAGGTCAGGGAGCCTGATGCCTGCGGGTGATTTGGGAAGTTCAGAAGGAGTGGGAGGGGGCATGTAAGTGAAAAGAAAAACGAAAGAAAGAATTGTGAATTCTAATTATGGAGCAAAAGAAACTGCTTCCTGGGAATGGTGACATTTATCCAGAGTTCACTCCTGAGTGAGGTTGGCTAGTCTGGGAAATACAGGACCTTCAAAGCCAGTTTTGGCCCTACACGTGGTCTTATCAGCTGTAGTGGCCACCTCCAGCACAGTGGGGTGCAGGCAATGGGTTATCACCAGCTTGATTCTTCTTTAAGGCAGTGCTGGGCTGGGCAGAGGGGTTGCCTAATGCACATCTGCTCCCATGCTGGGAGCCTCTTGAGCTCTCGGGATGAGCTCCCTCTTCATTCCTGGGCATTTACCTCCCCATTTTCCTCTCCCCACATGCTCACCCACAGTCCTGGGAGGCCGAGTCCAGCTTGTGACTGTTGCTGATCCCAACCTCACAGGCTGGGACCCTGGAGAGCAGCCCCATGTGTGTGAAGTCATGTGAATCATGGCTTCAGGAGACAAGGCCAAGGGCTTTTTTGGCTTTCTCCTCTTTTCCTCCCCCCTCTGACCTCAGCACTGCACCCAGGTTGTTTTTCAGCTGTGGTTTAGATAACATGTTTATATAAACACCTCAGCTGGAATCTGCCTCTGTCCCTGGAGACGCTGCCTGGCTCCGACCTGGAGCAGGCGATGCCTCCAAGGTGCTCGCACCATCCTCAGCCTCTTTCAGCCATAAGGAACAGCAGCAGAGGTGGCACCTCAGGGACAGAAAGCACCTTATGGTGACAGGAGATGTCCAACTGTTTTGATTTCTCTTACATATAAGCTTTGGGGTTTGGTTTGGTTCTGCTGGTGATGGTTCAGTTTCGTCCTCATGCCCTGCCTGCCCAGAGCTCCTCTCCACTCACCTCTCTGCTCCTAATGTGCTCCTAAAATTTGGTGGTAGGAGCAAGGCAGATGTCTGTTTTCCTTTTCTTATTAATAGATATAAAATGCCTGCCCAGGGGGCTCACTTTCAGCTCATTTACTGTGCATCCAATGCCAGATGTCGGGTTTTTTTCAATACCGAGGTGATCTCTGATGCTCAAATTGTCACAGGCAAGACAAGACTTGCTCTTTGGTTTTGGGCTTTAAGGAAGTTTTAGATGTTAATAGAGGATTTTGGGATTGGATGGTTTTGCAGTAGAAATCTGAAGGATTGTTTCCCTTAACAGCAGGTCAAAGGGAAAATTCGTGATCTTTTGCAGAAAAATGTGAAAGGAACGATGGGCAAGAGCTAATCCTTCCTTTGCTCTTAAATCCAGCCCTATCTGGATTTTACATCCAGTGATGCCTCTGGTTTAAATCCAATGCTACCTGGATCTGGAGAAAGGGCATGATGGAAAAAAATGCTTAAAATTAAAATTTCTTGCTCCTCTCATCTCGCCCTCGGTCCGGTGGCACTCTGCCATCCCTGCTGCGCCTCTGGCAGCCCCATGGGTCCCCAGAGAGCAGCCTTGCGCAAGTGCAGGCTGGTACATCAGCTGCAGGCTCCCTTCCCAGGGCTCTCCCGGGGCTGTATTTCCTCCAGCCTTCAGTCAGGTCAGCCTGAAGGATTTGCACAGCTCTGTGTGAGGGACCAGGGAAGGGCAGGCTGAAGGTGACGGTGCCAGTTTGCAGGTGGGCTCGGGGGCTTTGGGTTCGAAGCTTTGGTAGCCATCAGGCACCTTCCCCTGTGCAGAGACACCCACCTGCAGCTGGAGTTGTGGAGGGCACCTGTAATCAATTAACCCCTTACCTGCCTATCACTGGCACGGATGTGCCCACCTGAGGAGGGAGGATTTGATGTGCATTAAGGGGACAAAGCAAGCGAGACGAGGTCCAAGCGGGTATGTAGGTCATGGGATTGCAAGGGAGTAGGGCCGGGGCTGCTGGGCAATGGTATCATCTTTATCTGTTTCTGAAGGATGGGCCCTTGGCAGCACCGTCAGCAGCAGTGCTGCCTGCTGATTCACCCTGCCAGCTCTTGCCCAGCAGCAGCAGCAGGAGCAGGAGAGGGCAGGGACACCGTGGGGACCCAGCTCCGGGTGAGGGCAGTGGGACCCGCAGGGGCTGGGGCAGGGCAGGCTGCTGGGGCTGTTTCATAAAGAAGTTGCTTCATGAAAGGAACAGAAAGTGCAGGGGGAAGTGACAGAAAAAGCACCAGGCAGAGGGATCTTTGCTGTGTTTTTTTTCTTTTAACGGCAAATTAACCCCCGGTTTTAGTGCTGTCGTGCCTTCAGATCTTGAAATGTGGGCAAACGAGGCTTTTTGCTTTCTGTGCATCATTTGACGAAAATCAAACCTAGCAGTACTGAAGGCCCATTTTATTCATCTTCTGAATGAAAGGATTATTAAAACAGCTCTTTGGCTTGTTCTCCATGCCCTGAACACCTCCGTGCACACATGCCTGCATCCCTCGAGTTGCCCTGACATCACCTTTGACCGTAAAAAAAATATTGTCAGTGCAAAATACAGACGGGCAATGGTGAACACCACACGTTGCTAAAGGACACAGCATCTGTGCTGCTGATCCACGGGTGGGTTTGGAGAGGAATGGTCTGTAGTGGGTGTATTGAACACCATGGAGGAGACATTGGGATCCTTCAGGGTGCCCTTAAAAAAAAATCAGCAAAATGCAGAGAACTGCTCTGCTGAGTGCTGGGGTCCCCACGGGCTGCAGGCCTAACCCTGCTCTCTCCCTTCCTGCTGGTCATGCCTGGTGGGATCTGAGCAGCCCCTTGTTGTCCTTGTCCTCCTAAGCCCATCCCTACCAATACAGGGCCGGAGGTGTGACCTTGCAGCCCCTTGCCACCTGCAGCCTCACCACCTTGTTTCAGGTGCCACCTATGAAACTTTCAGCCTCCTGCTTCTTGTTGTGTTTAGCTTGGATTCCCACTGCTGCCTGTGCCAGCAAGGAGCTGGTGTCCAGATCTCTTCCTCTGCTCCAGAGCCCAGGGCATGACCTGGTGGGTGGGAGGTCCTGCTGTCCCACTTCCCCAAGCAAGGTGCCCTGCAGACAAGGAAGAAAAGTAGTCTCCCATGAGGCGAGAGTTTGGCCAGGATAAATATCAGCCCCTTCCCAAAGCAGTGCCGGGGGCTGGTGCGCAGGGGTGGGATGTTGTGGGAGGCGGGTGAGCAGAGCCATCGTGACAGCTCCTCACTTCCCAGCTCCTGCCAGGTGCTGAGCAGGCAGGAGGAGCTGCCTTCCTCCCCTGTGCTGTCTCATTTCCCATCCCCACCGCCGCCGCACTCCCATCCATCCTCCTGAAACCTTGTCAGCTCTCAAGGAATGGTCTTTATCACAGCCTGGGAATCAGGCAACTGGCCCCTCACGCTCCTGCCAGGGGAGCAGGCTGTGCTCCTGATGGCATGTATGTCCTTGTCACTGCTGCAAGGAGCTGAAACCAGCACTCTGACTAATTAGGAGGGTTGGGGAAAAGCAGATGAGGGGATTAAAGAAAAATAAAATGGATGCTAGGAAATAGAAATGACAGTACCTGTCGGCTGGGAAGAAGGAGGTGGGATGAAGAGGAGGAGGATGTAGACGAGTGCTGATGGGTTTCACTCCTGAAGCTGTTAGGGAAGAAAGGTGTTTTGGTGTTGAGAGCTGCAGCTGGAGGGATGGTCCCTGTGCCACTACAAGCTTGGGTTTGCTGGGGCTGGGAGGTGTTTCCCCCACCACGTTTGTGCAGGGAAGGGAGTGTGTGGGGTGACTTGCAGGGAGAAAGCCACAGGGAGCAAAAGACAAGTTGAAACAAGAAGTGGGTGTTCAGCACTTTGGCAAAGGGAAAGGGATGGGTGGGGGACATCCAGGAGGACATTGCCCACCCTCTGCTTCAACTTGCAGTGGTGCTGTTTCTAATGCAGGAGCCCTTTTTTCTTTATTGCATGGCTTTCCCCTTGGCTCACTGGCTCCTAATGCTCTTAGTGAAATCTGTGAGTGTGGTGTCATTCTGCTGGCTGGCTCAGGGCAGGGGGGCGTGGTGGGCTTGGGAGAGGACAAGGGTCAACACCAGAAAGTGCTGTGGGGCACTTTTCCTCCAGCAGCCTGGTCACCCTGGCACAGAGGCCCCCAGGCAGGGACCTTGCTGCATGAGGTTTCTGTAGCATGGGGTGGAGGACAGCCAGAGGAACACCCCGAGTGGTGGTTTGAAGGCCAAAAGAGTTTTAATTTTAGATTTGCCAGTTGCTCCCTTCCTCCCCAGGCGGATTGCTTGCTCTGCGGTTTGGGTTTCTCCTCTGTCAGATGATGATACTGGTAATTGCCTTCTCTGTGAGCGAACTGGGAGGGTTAACCAACATCTGGGTGGTAACTGAGGATGGGGGAGGTTGTGTGCAGCTGAACTGTGGACATCTGGCCGGAACCGAACCCAAACCTTTTCTTTAAAGACAACAGAACCTTGGAGGTTCTGCCTTGAAAATAGCCCTGGATTTCTTCTGTCTCTGACCATTCCCTCTTATTCTCTCATTCTGTAGCCCTGCTGCTGGACATCATGATTGTGGCTGGTTTGCAGAAGCTGGCCAAGCGGAAGGGCCCGTACGACATCAACCCTGGCTTGTTGGACTACCTGACCATGGACACCTACGCCTTCCCAGCCGGGCACGCCAGCAGAGTGGCCATGCTCTCCAAGTTCTTCCTCAACCACCTGGTCTTGGCCATCCCCCTCCGCATCCTGCTGGTCCTCTGGGCCCTCTGTGTGGGGTTTTCCCGTGTCATGATCGGACGGCACCACATCACAGATGTCCTCTCCGGCTTTGTTTTTGGCTACTTGCAGTTCAGGCTGGTGGAGTTGATATGGATGTCTTCCAACACGTGTCAGATGTTGATATCCATCTGGTGAACATGGGGGACTTGATGCCTTTCCACTGGAAACTAGCAGATACTTTGACAGTCTCCCTCCCAGTATTTTCTACATGTTGTTTGTTGGAAGTAGTTGTAACTTCCATGAGTAGTGATGTTTTTTAATGTTGCTTCCCCACCTTAAAAAAAAAAAAGTTTCTTGCAATGGATTGGGTTTTAGCAATCGAGGGCCATACCTGTGTTTTGGCCATTTTCTCAAGCTGTGTTTGGACAGCAAGCTAATTAAGCTTTGCGGGTGAGAGAAATGAGCTCCATGTCTGCCTACTTTAGGTGGTTCACACTGGCACCTTGGTATGTCCTCAGGATGGGCAGTGCCTGAGAGCTTCCTGAGAACACATTCATTAACTTTTTTTGAGGCTAAATGATTTTGGCCACTGTGCTTTTTTCTTTTTGTGAGCCCAGCAGTTGTGTCTTCTACAGAGTCAGGACAGGCAATGCTGGCCCTTTACAAATAATAAATAATCATAAAAATCCTGCCCTGTTTGGTTCTTATCGTGAGGGAAGGGACAAACCCACCCTGCTGTGGCTCTGAGATACACACTCAGTGAGGAGCAGGTCCTGCAGTCTTGCTGACTGAGGAGGTGCAAGTGATGGCTCACAGGGTTTGCATTGGTTAGAGTGGACCTGGATGGGTGCTCACTAAAGGAAAATCTGCTCTGTGAGGGTCTGGGGGGAGTTTTTGGTCTGGTAAGGGACACAGGCAAATTGCCCACTTTCATCCTGGTAGGGATGAATAGACATTGTGCTGTCGTGGTCATTTTACAAAGCAGATCTTGATGTGCAGAAAAAGGTCTTTTTCTATCTCTTCACGGCCATGATTTTATCATTATGCCAAATGCTGTGGTAGATGGGAATTTCCAAGGTAAGCCTGGTACAGCAGTGCCTGTTTCTGGTTTCTGGTACACCCAGCAGTGTCAGTGAGCTGAGGGCAGGGAGGCAGGGCTGCCCTCGTCCCTGCCTCTGCTCGCTTGGCTGTAACCCTCCTACTGGGGTTAATTCTGAACATTTCTGTGTCTTACCCTGTATGAAATGAGGAGAGCACTCCTGACCTTCCTTGATTGCAAACCTGAGCTAATTGTTGTTTGTGAATCAGAGATCACTTATAGAGTTTGATGCCCAGGCATGGTGCTGCTCCTTCCCATTATTGACAAGTGTCTGCCTTGAAACCTGGTGGATCCTTACCCAGGTGATGGTCATGCTCAACGTGGTGTCTCTGAAATGGATCCAGCCTCATGCCTGTCATAAGAAAATCCCATATTTTGAACAGAATGTGCCAGTTTTCTGTGGTTTCTCTGTCTTTAGAAGAGAGTTTGATGTTTGGTAGGTGATGGAAACCACCAGACTCAGCACCTTCCTTGACGGGATGAATCCTGCAGAATGGAGGGATCCTGTCATCCCTGCCCTCCTGTCTGTCCCAAATGAGCAAAATGCACCTGGCTTGGAAGGCCAGGGAGCAACCAGCTGGATCTGGCACTGTCATTTCTCCCTGAATGTTGAGGAGCTTCCTACGGGAGCTGGTGAGAAGAAGACATTCAGATAATGACTGCTGCAAGCTGCTGACATTTGTTACTCTTTGATGATTAATATGAAAAGAAGCAAAACAGATAATCTATCCCTGGCATGCGTCTCCAGCTGGGATGTCAGCACAGAGCCCTGGGAGCTGCCGACTTCCCGCGTTGCCGGCTCCGAGGCTGGAGCAGAAGCGTGGTAAGGAAGGCGACCACGTCCTTTGAAGACGAGCCTCCCACGGAGCTCACGGATGGGCTGTCCCTTGGGAAGGGCTGTCACTGGGTTTTTTTCAGGAAAGGGGAGAACTCGGGGTCTCAGTGGTTCTCCCCGGAGGTTGGTGCAGCAGCGGGGGGTGGTGGGTGCTGCCCAGCTCCCCTCCTGCTGCTGCGGGTGGGAGCAGAGATGTGCCGCCCTCCCTCAGGGCTTTTCTTTGCCAATATCCTTCTCCTGCGAAGATTTATGTGAAGAAGTGAGCTGTGGTGATTTTTCTTCCCTCCAGGCATTGTTGCACTTGGCAGAGTTTATCCTCGCCCCCAGGAAGGATGGAGGCACGTCACTGGGCTCTGATGGCGTGTGACGCACCTATGTGTAGCTGGAGATGGTGGGTTCCTGAAGGGATAGGGAACAGGGGAGGACTTTGCCCTGATGGCTTTGTGGGAAGCTCTCACTTTGTATTTCCAGGATTTACTGAACCTTTGCAAATAGGCTGGATGAATCTACAGGCATGTTGCTGGGTTAGGGTTTTCTTGCACTTATGTTATCTTCTCCTGGTATATCCAGGATGGCAGCATGGCTTTGGAGGAGTTATCCTGGTCCTTGCTGGTGTAATCAGGAGAGCGTGGCCTGGAGAAACTGCCATGGTGGGTTAGATCAGCTGAGCTGGTCTCACCCCAGCACGTGGTTGCAAAGCAAGGCAGGAGAGCAGAGAGAGGTGAGTTGGGGTGATCCAGGGGGGTAAGCTGGGATTCACAGGATGAGACTTTCTCCCACACAGAGTTTCTCTGGGGAGTTTTCCTCCTCAGCCTTCCTGTAGCCTGTGTCCCTTTTCTCCCCCAGCACTTCAGTGCCCAGAGTGGGGGATCCCAGTGCTCCGTTCTTGCTGCAGGGAGGGTTTGGGGAGAGACCCCACAAGGTGAGTGTAGATCTGGGCACAGAGGCACTGGGAAAGACCTGGCAGAGCCTTGCCTTGGCCATGGCTGCCCTCCCAGCAAGGCAAGCCATCCCATGTCCCTCTCTCCAGCTGCTGCCATGCCGAAGGTACCACTCAGAAACAACCAGCGTTTCTGCGGAGAAAAGCAGCTTCTGTCTCTATAGCAACAGCGAGGGATGGCAGGCACCGTGTCCCCTGTCCCTGCCAGTCCCTGTCACCCAACAAGCAGGACAGGCTGTGGCTGGGCTACATATCACCTCCAGGAGGGAGGCAGGAGTCCCCCAGCCCAGCCCCCCTGGGACACAACTGTGTGGGCAGGGGCATGTGGGGAGCAGTGACCGAACAACCCGGCTCTGCCACCGACAAGGTACAACCTGCGGTGACTGTCCTCAGCTTTCAGTCCCAGTGACATGACCTTGGGCTGTGCTGGGGGAGCCAGGAGGCAGCGTGGGGAAGGATTCCATGCCCAGTGCTGCACTCACAGATATCCAGGGCCAGATCAGAGGCAAGAAGGGCACAGCAGTGCGAGGGAAAGGACAGTCACTCCGGTCTTCGGGCTCTAGAGCTGTGCAGATGCCATCTGCCTTTCAGCCCTTGGTTGCTGCTTGTGAGGAGGAGCATGGGTGCAGCTTGCCTGTCCATAAAGCCCTGTGGTCTGAGGAGGGTTTTCTCCCCCCTCAGAAGGTGTCAGAGGGATAGGACTGGGTCTCAGCCCCAGCAGCACTGTCAGAATGTGGCCTTTTGTGTAATGTGCTGGAGCATCACCTGGCTCTGCTCTCCACTGACCTTGGATTTAGCAGTGGCTCTGAGAAAACACCAGTGGGTTTTGCAGGCATGTGTTACATGTAAGCCAGTGGCTGAGGCATGTTTATGCCTCGTTCTGCACTCTCCTGGAGCTCCTGCTGATGCTCACGCAGAGGTTTGGCCCCATCTCTCCTGGGTGAGCCAGGGCAGGACACTGGTCTGCTGTGTGCTCACCATGGTCATATGGCTGTGGGGAGGCAAAAGGCCAAATGGTTTGAGCTCCCTCAGGATTTCCCAGGAATGTGAGTGTTTTCCCTGAACCTTTAGATCCCCAAATTCAGCCATGCAGGGCTCAGCATGAGGCCTGGGAGGAGTGATCCTTCCAAGTCAAGACCCTTCCAACCAGGAGGAACAAACAAACCCTGACCATGGCATCTTCTGCCTTTCAGTTCATCTAGCAGATTAATTAAGAAAGTGCCTTAGAGGAGGCAATAATTAAATAAATGTGATCAGCCAAGGGATCTCAACCCCCACGGGTTGGGGGCTGCTGCCATCAGCACTCCCAAAGTGCCACAGGGAGAGTCCCAGGCTGTGGTGACAGTGATTTGGTTTGTGATTCTTTGGCAGACAGTGAAAGGCCCCTCCTCCCCTCACCCTAATGCTGATTATGCTCAGCAGCAAAAAGAGATTTTAATTTATTAAATAAATAAAAAAAAAAGGGTGCCAGGGTCAGGGCCAGTAGCAAATCTGGATTATATCTTCGGGCATATGTGGGAATCACGGCTGGGGTGTTTAGTTCTCCCCTCCTCAACCTAAGCTGGTGGTTTTTTTCCAACAAGCTGTTTTGTACATTTGTGGCTGGGGTTGTGCTGAAAGGAAGGTGGGACAAACCCCTTCACACATCAGGGCTGTGCTGCCCTCTCTGTCATGGAGGGTCCTCTGTGCTGTCCCTGGGATCCGTGTCCTTCCCAGGACGAGGCAGCCGATGGGGGGGCAGTGTGAGTTGGATGGACTGGGAGGGCAGGTTGGCAGATTTGAGGATTCAGGGGGAATTAGGAAGGCTGTTACACAAGGTCTCCCTGTGGTAGCACAGGTGTGGCTGTAGTTCACCCCAGGATGGACACGTTGGGTGTAAATGTTTTTTGGCTGCAAATGTTTTTCTCTCGTGTTGACCCCAGAGTCCCTGGCTGATGTGCCCATGTCTGCATGTAGTGCTTGATTTAAGGTGTTGCTGGGGCTCTGCCCTCCAGACAGGCAGGGATGGGGTTGTTTCACTCCCTGCCTCGCTGGGACTCGGAGCAGCAAAGGTCTTCGTGCTCTTTCGTTCCCCAGGACGCAAGAGTCAAAGCGGATTAAAGGTCCCTCGGCTGATCACATTTATTTCATTATTTGAGTGAAATCCCTTGTAAATACCGCCTCCCTCCCCTTTTTTTTTTTTTTTTTTAAAAATAGAAAGCACGAAAGAATTAGAGATTTAGGAAAAGTTAATCACAGGAGTCGCTTGAAATCCATTAACCTCTCGCAGCCTGAGGGAGGCTGAGCCGAGCCCGAGCCCCTCTGCAGGAGAAGATGCTGAATGGCCGGAGGGGTCCCCAGCCCCCCCAAAAGCAGGGCTTCCCCTGGAAAATACCTGGTTCTTAGCAGGCTGGGTGGTATTACAGTGCTTTGTTCACAGCCTGGCCGTGATGAACTGCTAATTGCAGTGTTGGGACAAATTGGTTCAAGCACTCAGGCGGCTCCAGAGCAAGTGGGCGAGTGGGGTCACGTGTAGGAGCCCTGCGGCAAATGCTGCTGGCCAGCGTGCGGGCTCGGCGCCATTGGAAATGCCAGTGCTCTTCCCTTTACAGTGTGGTTCCTCTGAGCCTCTCCGAAGGATGGGGTGGGCTTTGCACAGGGATATCTCCCGGTTTTTCTAATGCATTTCAAACAGGTGTAGCTGGATTCCACTCATCAGAACCCGCCCTGAGTTCCCATCCCCTCAGTACAACCTCGCCCATGGGACCCTCTCTCACTTCCTCTCTTCTCCCAGGACCAGCAGCCTTGTGCAAGACCATCAGTGCTGGAAAGTCAG